GCAATTCTCCTGCCTCAGCCTCCTGAGTAGCTGGGATTACAGGCATGTCCCACCATGCCCAGCTAATTTTTTGTATTTTTAGTGGAGACGGGGTTTCACCATGTTGACCAGGATGGTCTCAATCTTTTGACCTCGTGATCCACCCGCCTCGGCCTCCCAAAGTGCTGGGATTACAGGCTTGAGCCACCGCGCCCGGCCAGGTGCCATTCTTTAAATTTTTCTTTTCTTTACTCAGAGATCCTTGTTTTGAATAATTAGGTACCATTCTTACCTCCACTTTACTGAGGCTCCAGAGGTCACAGCACTCCCTCCCGATTACACAGCTAGTAAGGACCGGCTCCAGGCAGTCCCACATGCATTCTCACAGCTCCCTTGTAAGACCAGCTCCTCATCATCTCATTTTTACAGAGCGATAACTGGAGTCAATATCTCTTGGCAATATTAAGGTGTGTGTTAGTCTTTGTGGAGAGGGGTTTGTGAACAGAGAAAGCATTGTCAGTATAAGTGAATACCATCTGAGCCCTGAAAAGCCATTTGTTGCCGGAAGCAAGGGGGCTTCTCCTTTTGGTGGTGTTCTGCCTCTTGCCCATGGTATTTCTTCCTTCTGTGCTGTTTGTTAAAAGAAATTCACATCATGTTAAAGGTGTTGGTTCTCGGTGAGTTGCAGTGGCTCCCACCTGTAATGCCAACACTTTGGGAGGCTGAGGAGAGTGGATCACCTGAGGTCAGGAGTTCAAGACCAGCCCAGGCAATATGGTGAAACCCCATCTCTACTAAAAATATAAAAATTAGCTGGGCGTGGCAGTGCATGCCTGTAATCCCAGCTACTCAAGAGGCTGAGGCAGGAGAATTGCTTGAACCTAGAAGACAGAAGTTGCAGCGAGCGGAGATCCCCCCACTGCACAACAGCGTGGGCGAAAAAAATGATATTGTAAAAAAAAAAAAAAAAAAAAAAAGGCATTATTCCCCCTTTGTCCTGTAAACTTTGCAAAAACCGGGGACCTCCAGGGTTCCAGGGGCTTTGTTGGGACTGGGCAATGCTTTCTAGATAATACAAATGTTGGTTTCTTCTGGAATGTGTTGGGTGGGAGGAGGAGCAGCCTAGATACTAGATTTTCTGTAGATATGCTGTGTAATTGCAGACAAGGGTCTTCCCCTCTCTGGGCCACATCTACATGATGTGGTGGGGACAGGACTGGACTCTGGAGTGTCCAGAGTCCTTCTAGATCAGACATGGATAGTCTGACCCCACCCCATTCCCCATTGTGAGTATGGGTGTGAATGCAGGTGAATGGTCTGCATAGATCTCCACGGAGTGAGAGAGAAATTGGTGCACGAAGGGACGAGGATGGAGCTCCCTCACTGCCTCCCACTCCCTCGCCCTCATCCTACCCTTCGTTTTTCAGTGCAAAGTAGGCCCCAGTGACCTGGACCAAGTGGATTTTCTGGACTCGAAGTCTTGGAACATTAGTGCTGGAGGCACCCTAGTTTTTCACCCATTGTTCAGATGAGGAAACTGAGGCATGCAGAGGGGAAGCAAGGAACTCAAAAAGTGATACAGCCAGTCACAGGTCCAGCTGGGACTCCGGCAAACTTCCTGACCTCTTCTGCTCACTGGGGATCTTGATTGGCCAGATATTAAACAGAGGGGCCACTGGAGGAAGGTGGGAGAGAAGACAGCCTTTAAGTTCCTTTTGCTTTGAAGATGGAATAATCATGACTTCCTTCTCCAAATAGCTTTTGGGCCTTCCTAGAACCAGATGGCGGATGTTTGGAATTTATGTTGTAAATAGTGTTTAAGAAGGGGTGGGGGTGCAGCTGTGTTACTTTCTTTCACCACCAGAAACGAGATCTGAGGGAGAGACGTGGGGGAGGGAAGCTGACTATGAAAAGATTTTGGGAGAAGGAAGAAGTGAGGGGGAAGGAAGAGAGAACAGCAATTTGAGGTGGGAGCACAGGGGGAGAAAAGGGAAGAGAGATGGATGGATGAGACTGAGAACAAGACAGAGAGGAAGAGAAAGGGAAGGGAGACAGTGATGGGAGGAGAAGGAGGAGGAAGAAAGATGGGAAGGGGCTCCCAGGGTGCAGGCGCAGAGATGCCCCATCCTGAATTCAGGAGCAAACCCTTGAGTTTTCTAAAAATAGCACAGTCTTTCCCCCAGCGGGGCTGGCAGCAGAGAGGCACGCTTGCCCTTTTATGGTAAGAAAAAGTCCAGATCCTCAGAGGGGGAGCTGGGCTGGAGCCTGTAGTTCTGGATGAAGTCCAGCCCCACGGTCTGGGGTGGGACAGGGCAGAATGGGGGGAAGACTTGGTGGGATTTCCTGGCCTGGGTGGCCCTACCCTTGGGGAAGATAGGGCTGAGGTAGGTGTCAGCAGAGGCCT